CGAATTATGTTATTATTGTTGTGAAAAAGTGTACCATTTGCCTTCCGTACCTATGGTCGGTAAAACAAGAGAGTATGTGTTATTACTCTGTTAATTATCTTTTGGTTCTCTACATATATATATATATATATATATTGTGGTGGGCGTTTCATTTGCCCTTGTACTTTAGGCCATAAAATATGATTGATGTATTGGAAGTGTAATTGGGATTGTGTTATAAATTGTGTTTTGAGTTTTGAAAATTTTTGCAATGAAGATGATGAATTGTAAAGATAAATTAAAATGAGGTTTTTCGTTTATTGATGAAGAAATTTTTTTTTTTTTCCCAGGAAAAGATATACATATATATGATACTTCGATTATAAAAGCCACATTATTTATATAGTATGAGGTGGAACATTCATAATCTTATCCGTCTATTTGTCGCTATTGTTTTGAGTCATTGGGATTCCTACTGGAATATATATTCATCTCATGTTGTTGATAACTTTTCAGGTACAAAGTTGAAGAGTAGTTCAAGATCAGAGGATTTCCCTTATTTGTTGGCCAAGGAGCCTTGTAATGTAAAGAGAGTTAAACCTTTTTCTTTATGTTGTAATGTAAACCTATGGGCAACTTCATTTAATTGTATTGCATTTTGCATGAAATGTATGAATGAAAGGGAATCTTTGTTATTCGTTAATGTGAATGATTATTGTATTTACATATATCCTTATGGAAATTGATTAATAATAACGAATGCGGTAATGTTACTCGGGTAGTAAAAGTTGCGGCGTGACATGTACTGAAGATATTTCTCCCTAGCCTAGTAAGGTTACCCAACCTAATTATAAACCTATTCATCTATATTTTTTTCAAAAAAAAAAAAAAAAAAATGGGGAAAAATACATTTTAATAATCCAAAAATACTAACTGAAAGTACTTCCCCGCCAACATGTTGGATCAAAAAATGGTGAACAATCCATTTTAATAATTATCTAAGGCATTAGATCCAGTGATTTTTTTTATGTTGGTGATAGATTCACACTTTGTGAAATAATTTGATGAGAAGTCCTAAAAGGCATTTTGTTTTTAATTTTACCCTTTAACTTTTTTTTATCTGTTTGTCTTTTGTTGACTATCTGTTCAAATTTATATCTATCTGTCCAAATTTTTTGTCTATCTGCTCAAATTGTTTTGTCTATCTGTTCAATTTTTTGTTTATCTATTCAATTTTTTCTGTGTAAATTTTCTATCTGTCCAAATTTTATCTGTGCAAATTTCTCGTTGTCTAAATTTTACCTGTCCAATTTTTTATCTATTCAATATTTTTATGTTTACAAATTTTCTATCAAAATTTATTTGTCCACCCGCACTTATTGGGAATTTAAAATAAAATAAAAAAATTTGTTGACACTCAAACGAATGTAAAATGCTTCATATCACAAACCAAGAGAGAACTTGGTTCGCAAGCCTTTTTTCCAAAGTAAGAACAAACCAGAATTGTAAATAGTTATAAATTATTAAAATTGGTTCTTTTAATATGAATTGAGCCTAACGTTATGTTTGGATTGATTGATTTGGAGAGAAAAGAAAAGAAATAGAAAGATATGTATTTCTCTTACTTGTTTGAATAACCTAAATGGAGAGAAATAGGAAGAAATGGAGAGAAATAGGGAGAAACTCATTTCTCTTATGAGCCTCATTTTCAATCTTTCCAAGAATGGAGAGATTGGAAGAGAAAAGAAACTACTATTTTCATAATACCAATTTTGTCCCTATAAAAATAAAAGAAATAAAATGATTGAAAATATAAAAATGTTATTTTAATAATATAACATAAAATAATTTCTTTTCTTTTCTCTTAATAAAATCTAACCAAACAATAATGAGAAAAATCACAATCATTTCTTTTCTTTTATTTATTCCTTATCCAAATAAAAAGGAGAGAAATCACAATCATTTCTTTTCTCTTATAAATTCCCAAACACAATATAAAGTTTTGTGTCCATATAGCCAAACTGAGCCTAAATTTTCCACAATTGTGTTTTTTTCTCAAACCATAATTCACAACAAAATACCACACAATATGTAAGATATCTCCTTTGATAGTTCCTTCGTTGACATCTCCCAACAATAGTGAAAAATAAATCTATTTAAAAAATCTCAAAAGTGCTTTGTTTGAATCTTTTCTTTTCTTTTCATTTCTTTTCTTTTCTTTTCTTTCCAAACACAGTGTAAAGTTTTGTGTCCATATAGCCAAACTGAGCCTAAATTTTCCACAATTGTTTTTTTTTCTCAAACCATAATTCACAACAAAATACCACACAATATGTAAGATATCTCCTTTGATAGTTCCTTCGTTGACATCTGCCAACAATAGTGAAAAATAAATCTATTTAAAAAATCTCAAAAGTGCTTTGTTTGGTTGGTAAAAAAAAAGTAGCAAAATTTCGTTAGTTCAATCAGATTTCCAAATTTTCTCGGCAATCAAACAAGTAATCTCACCAAAGAGTAGTCAATACGAGAAAAATACACCAGAATGGGGGCATTGCCTTCGAACTCGTTGAAACGAAGATCTAAGAACTTCAGACTCGGCAATTTTAGAAACACCCGAGGGAATTTTCCGGGAACCTGTTGTTGCTGAGATCGAGCTCGAAAAGAAGCTTCAAGTTCTTGAACTTATGAGGGCCTGTGCCGCAGAATCGATTCGAGTTGTTGTGAAACAATGCGAGATCTGTGAGGAGTCCGAGCTCCTTCGGGAGGTACCCGGCAATGTCGCCGTGGTTGAGATCGATGCTGGCGACGGTGAAGATCGAGGAGTTGTCCGGCGACGGAGCGCAGAAAAATCCGGTGTAGTTGCAAACACCAGATCCGACCCAATCGGCTGTGAGGTTTTGGGGATCGGAGACGAGGGTTTGGGAAGACCAGAGATGGATTAACGGTCACAAACTCGCCTGTGTCTCCGAACTCGTCTCTGTTGTACAAGAGCTGTCTTTGCTTGATGTACAGAGCTTCGGCGTCAGTGAGGACGCCATTGACGGCGAAGTCGGAATGAGAAGTAGCAGAAGAGATGAAGAAGAAGAAGAAGAGAGAGAGAAGAAAGAAGTGTGGAGAGAGAATGTGGGATAAGAAACGGTGGGTGGAGGTGGTGGTTTGATTTCTTGAGCAAAGCGAAATGAATGAAGGCCAGAGCTGGAGTGGATAGGTATTTTGGTCATTGTAGGATAGCTTGTCCTTATGGACATAAATAAATAAGAGTATGAATCTTTCGACAATAAAAAGTTTAAAACTGAATTTTTGGCTCCAACAATCTTTTTTTCAATAGAATTATGATTATACAATACCAATAAAAATAATTAAATAAACAAATAAAATACTTGTATATCCCACATAATTAGCGAGTCCAGATTCTCTCCGGTCCTCTCTCCGTTCAACGGCCAAGATTTGACCACGTTACCTCTTTCTTGGCCACGTTACCTCTAATAAAAATTACGGCTCAGATTAGCTAACCAAAAAAAAAAAATTTAAATTGAATTCAGCACAGCAAAATAGAGGGTCTCTCCATCTCTTCCTCTATCTGTCTCCTTCTTCAACACATCATCCTTACTCCGAAGATTTCAGCCGCAAACCAGAGCCTTGTTTTGCTGTTTTTTTTTTTTTGGTCATTTTTTGTGCTGAAATTAATGTCATTTGTTACCCAAAAAAGATTTTGAATTGAATTCAGCACTGACTTGCCATTAAATCTCAACCACACAATGCACCACTCTAAGAAACTTTAAGGGAAAAAAAACTCTAGAGGATCCTTGCACGCAAAATAGAGGGTCTCTCCATCTCTTCCTCTATCTGTCTCCTTCTTCAACACATCATCCTTACTCCGAAAATTTCAGCCGCAAACCAGAGCCTTGTTTTGCTGTTTTCTTTTGGTCATTTTTTGTGCTGAAATTAATGTCATTTGTTACCCAAAAAAGATTTTGAATTGAATTCAGCACAGCAAAACAGAGGGTCTTTCCATCTCTTCCTCTGTTTGTCTCCTTCTCCCTCAGCACATCATCCTTACTCTGAAGATTTCAACCGCGAACCAGAGCATTATTTCGCTGTTGGCTTGTGGTCATTTTTTGTGCTGAAATTAATGATGTTTGTTGCTATTGAAAATGCTGCTGATTTGCTGTTATTTTGTGCTGAAAGTGCTGCTGTGTTGGTGCTGTTTTGCTGTTGTTTTTTTGTTATTTTTTGTGCTGAAATTACTACCGTTTGTTGCTGCTGAAATTATTGGTAATCGTCAGATGGTAGTCGCAGAACAACCCTCCATCTCCCTCTCTTTTTTTGTTTGTTGCCTCTCTCATGTGAAAGCCTCTGTTTTGCCTGTGTGTTTGCTGTGCTGAATTCAATTTAATTTATTTTTTTTATAGCTAATTTGAGCCATAGCTTTTGTTAGGGGTGACGTGGCCAAATCCTGGCTGTTGATCGGAGGGAGGACTGGAGAGGAAGGCTAAAGAGGATCTGGACTCATAATTAGCATGTATTTAAAATCATACAAATTATATCATCGACATGTCCAAGAACCAAGATAGAGTAATATGACAATACATTTCGGTTTATTACTACTACACATATTCACATATATATATATGTTGGCTACATATTTTGTAAAAGCCAGTTACAGTTCGACACGTGACAGAGTAAGGGTAATAAAGGAAGGTTATTCAAGCCTTCAATCCTGATCGTACACGTGGCAATAAATATTGGTTCTCACATGATCTGAGTAACACTAGATCAATAACGGGATGCAAGATAACATAGCTTCAACGGTTACTCATATTCAATGTGCTGAATTCGATTTAATTTTTTTTTTTTTTATAGCTAATTTGAGCCATACTTTTGTTAGGGGTGACGTGGCCAAATCCTGACTGTTGATCTGAGGGAGGACTGGAGAGGAAGGGTGAAGAGGATCTGGACTCATAATTAGCATGTATCTAAGATCATACAAATTATATCATCGACACGTCCAAGAAGCAAGATAGAGTAATATGACAATACATTTCGGTTTATTACTACTACACATATTCACATATATATATATATATATATACATACATCATTACTTATACAGCTATAGGTAGCTGAATAGTTTTCCAATAAACACACTAATGAAGTAGTAGTACATGACAATGCACACACACAATTAGAAATCATCCAGCAATTTATTTTTTCTTTTTTCTTTTTTCTTTTTAACTAATTGGAAGAAGCAATAAGTTTTGTCATTGGCTGTAAGGAGGGTAATCCAGCATACTCCAATCTCAGCAACTTGAACTTGATAATATATAACTGCACACCAAAATATTGATGGAATAAAATAAAATAAAATAGACAACTCCCTTGCAAAAAATTATTAGAATATGCATGGAGATTTATAATTGTAAAAAGCATTTTGAATTTAATCATTTAAGAAAATAAAATTCAAAATGTTTTTAATAAGAACTTCTTGATTTTGAAATTGAGAAGAAGCAATCTGTGAAGGAAGAAACTATTTAATAAAATAAAAATTCAAATAATTTCTCGTATTCAATGAACATGTACAGGTGACTTTTGATTAGTTTTCTTTTTCAGTAAATTCTTAATAAAGGGACTCAAATCTTAATATTATGTTTTGATTTTGAATTTTGTTGTGAGGTGTCTTTTGTTTTTTACTATATATGTAGATTTATTGTCAGGAGTCTTTTATGAAGGGAGGGGACTAAGAACGTATCATATATATCTTGTGTTCTGTATGATTGTTTATTTATTTATTTTTTATAATTGGAACGATTAAATTTACATAACATATTTATCAAAAAAAAATATTGAAATAAATAAATTTAGTTTATTTTACTTCATTTTCTTCTTATTTTTTCTATTTCTTTTTTATTTGAATCACAATCCCTTCACATATTCATGATTTTTTTAAGATAGCCTAAAGTAAGAGAGTTAAACCTGAACTTAAATGCTTTGCTGCTTGCCAACGATTCTATCAATTACCTGTCCAGATATATAAACATACATTAAAAAGTTGTTAATCATACTCATCAGGAATTTAGCAATGTTGTAATGGGCTTGTTTGGTGTAGATTATTTGAATTGTTTATAAAAAAAAATTATTATTTTAAAAACGTGTTAGATTGTTTAGTGAACCTTCTATTTATAAATTACAAAACAAAAATAGTTTAAATAAATTGAAAAAAAGAAGACTATTTAGGAGATGGAGGAGGGTTTTTTTTTTTATTATTATTATTAACTTTTAACTTACAGTAAGTTGCACCAAACATGCCAAATAAAAAGATCTTTTACAATACACACTCCTATTTTGGGGTGTATCACATACAATTTAAGACAATTTGTTTGTGATTTTAATACCACTTTCAGTCATAATGACCGCAATAAATTATAATTAAATATCACTTTAGATATAACGAATAAATTCTCCGGTTAAACCAAAATAATAATTACAGTAAGTCATAACTACACTATAACCAACACTACAACGAGTTATAACTAACACCAAAATGCGTCATAATCAAATGCCACTTGAGGTATTATCAAAGATCTTTTTGGTTATAACGAAATGAGTCATAACTAAAGACCAAAAAGTTGGGCATATAATACATCATTTTTTAAAGTGTGATATAGAAATCCCCTATAAATATTATGAAATATATATATAGATATATAATGTAGGACAATTCTATGCTTTGGTTACAACCTTTATGTCTTTGGTTATGACATTTTGTATTGCTAGTTATGACACATTGTGATATTAGTTATAACGTTATTTTAGTTATGATTGAAGAGTTGTTCGGTTATACCTCATATGATGTTTAGTTATAACTCAATCTTTTATTTTTCATTTTTAAATTTTTTTTTTTTATGACTCGCATTGTATTGAGTTATGTCATAGTGATAATCAAACTCACAAATGACATAACTCGCATATGATAGCATTACTGTACATATATATATACATTTTTTTTTTAATAAAGGAGTATCAGCTTACTATATTCAGCCGATAAATCATAACTGGACATATGATACACTTTTTTTGAAGAAATATCATTTTACCCCACAAACTATCACCGAGAGTACGGCCAGAAAGAGAAAGATAGAAATTGTAAGACTAATAGATGAGGGGCGCTATAGCGATTCCGATTTTGACTCGTTATCTATTATATTCCTGACTCGGGTTGGTATGGTTTAGAATAGTTATTTATATCTTATTTCATTTATCTCCCTTCTATTTTGGTTATCGGGTTGTGATTGTGCGCTTGAAACAGGTTGGTTGCTTGTTTTTCCAAAACTTGTATGCCCAGATTTTGGCTCTTCTGCTCAAGCGGGCTTCACAAATTTTGCTCTTCCACTCAAGCGGCCATTCTTGCGCTTAAGCGGGATTTGTCAACTCTCAGTATTTCTTTTTGCATGTCTACAAATACTAGGAGAGTGCATCGGACGGTTGAGCGTCCAGTCCCACGCTTGAGCGGGGTCCTTCGTCTGCAAATATACTGGAAGTACGTATCCTACGCTCGAGCAGACTGTGTGTATAATAGTCCGAGAAGATTACATTTTGAATCACTTTTCATTTCTCACTCTCTCTAAAACTTTCCAAAGATCTAGTTCTTGAGTTCTCTCTCTAAAACTCACATTCTCTCTTAAATTTCATCTAGATCCATTGATCTTTTCACCCTAGTGCCTTTGAGAAAAAGGTAGAGCATCTCAAGATCTATATTTTGATCCAAATAGAAGTGGATTTCGACGTTCTTGGAGTTTCTCTCTTGTTTGACTCATCTTCTTCCTTTGAGGTAGGGATCTTTTCTACACCTTTATATGATATTTAGTTTAGTTATTTGTATCTTGTATAACGATGATGTGATTTGAGGGTGTTGTAAGCGAACCTAGGGTTTGGGTATAATATGGAAAGAGGGATTGTTGTTGAACATGAAATAAATGAATGTGGGTTGTGAAAATGAGATTTTGGTGGGTCAAAATGGTTGAGAATGATATTTGGGTTGATAATTAGAAAAAGGGGAATTTTTTCCATAAAATGACTATCATTATTATTTTATATAAATAATTAAAATTGACATTGAAAATGTGAAATTGAGAGGGTATTGATATGAATGATGGGATTGGTTATGTATTAACTCATTCTTTGAAAATTTGAATAAATTATCTATCATGAGATTGAATATCTATTTAGAAATAACTGTATTGGGCTATCGGTAGAGGATAGCTATGATTGTTGTAGAAATTGCATGAGGATTAGGTGAAATGAAACTAATCTCTTGTTGTTTGTCATTGAATATGACTATGCATATATACATTGTACATGTATGACTATGTGGGAGTGGAAAGGAGATGTGCTCCATTGTTTGATTCTGTGTTTAAATACATTGCATACGTATGAATGATTGTTTGGGAGGAGAAAGGGGATGGACTTCATTATAATTAAGTTGGCTAGATTGTCCTGGGTGAAAGTCTCAAAATTATACATGGGTGCCTAGCCTGTAGACGAAATATCCGTAAAATGGCAATTGTAGTGCTTGTATAGCCTAATTCGACGGCTGTCCACAGACAAAATATCCGTGAAAGAAAAGTTTGAAGTGTTTATACATTGATGATGTCATTGTAGAACTAATAAGTTGTAGTCTCATTTGTATTGTTAAAGAGATGATGAAATCGGTCCATGTAATGAAATGAATGGAAATTGATACCTTATGACTATATAAAATGTAGATGTCTCCATCACTGACATTGTGTATGCATAGTGTACTTATACCTTTGCTAAGTTTCATATACTTGATAGATTATTCCTACTGGGTTGTGGCTGACCTTATTTGGGGAATCCCATTTTTAGGTATTGAGGGCATGCCTCCACCAAGACAATAGCGGGGAAGGACTTTTGGAAGCACAAGCTTCTTGTTTTGATTATGTATTCTTTTTGTATAGCCAAGGGCTTATTTGTAAGAGTTAGTCTCTCTTTTGTTGTAACCAAGCCAAGACTTGGAAAGGTGTAAGCCCAAAAGGCACTTATTTATGTTGAACTCTTGTATTATGAACTTCTTGTAATGAAAAGACTTTTTACCCTGATTTATACTGTCATTTATGTATGTCTTTGGTAATGAAAAGACTTTTTACCCTGATTTATACTGTCATTTATGTATGTCTTTGGTTAATATTTATGGTGTACTTTTGAGGGCATTACAACTTGGTATCAGAGCGTACTGGATTTGAATACTTTGGGTACATGGGAAGTGGTTAGTACCACAATGGGTTTGTCTCGCTTGTTAAAGACTTAAGTGTGAATGATATGTGCTTATATGACAACATGCTTATGTGATTATCTGGGTATGGAATTGAATTTCTTGGATGTTGATTGGGTTTACGGGTTTCTAGGAGTCCTGTTAGAAAGGCACTTGATCACTGCTATTTCTAGTTGGAACTCTAGCAACGCCGCAGGACGGTCATTATCTGAAGATGAAATTCGTATGTGTTTACGTGATTATGTGTTTATGTGAAGTGAATTACTGTTGTCCAATGTATTAAGAGGCGAGTGAGTTAGCTTCGACACATTTGTGAATGTGCTAATCTCTTCGTTACCTTTATTAGGATGTCAGGATGTGGTCGTAGAGGTAGGCATGGTAGGCCTAGGAGGCACGAGATGCCTATACCGGATGAAATCCCGGCTTAGGAGGAAGGGGTTGGTCAGGTCAACGTGGCCGAGCTAGTAGGTCAACAGGCCATAGGCGCCTTAGCCCACGAAATGGCCGGAGCATTGAGGGAATCAATGAACATTCTCAGAGCTAAGAATCAAGTCCAAGCCTAGGTAGCTGAGGCAGGGCCTTATTTTTTGAAAAGGGAGGTTTTCCAATCGAATCCGGATAAGTTTTTGAGTGACCCAAAGAAGCCGTTAAAGGCAGATAAGTGGCTTGAACAGATAGTGAAGACGTTCGAGATACTTGGCATGTCACGACCCCAAACCGCCCCTAGTAGTTTGGTGCCGTGATGGCCAGTAATCCGTAATTACCGAAGGCCAACTTTCAAAAACTTAACACAATCAGAGTATAATAATCGGGGCTCACAAATGCGGAAGCAATAATCTAAAATGCGAGTAGTCCATAAGAGCTGTGCGTAGATCAAATGCAGTGCCAAACATTTCCAATTAACTTTACAACTTGAATACAACAAGTAAAATACGTATTACATCTTGATCAAAAGGCTTCTCGAGCCGACATATACAAAACACATCAAACTTTATCGAACAAGGGATGAACCGTATTCATCAATCAAATATCACAAGTCGCAGGGGATGCTTACTGACGTCGGCGGAACAAGGGATGAACCGTATTCATCATTCAAATATTACAACATCAGCGAAGCAAGGGATGAACCGTATTCATCAATCAAGTATTACAAGTATCAAGGGCTGTACGATCCGTTATCGTTTAGTCAAAGGTACTGCGAAAGTTTATAGTCCTCCAGCACAAGGGACTGATGTTACCTAGGCCCGTAGCCCGATTTAACATGGTAATCTTTTCAAGAGAGGACCGTATCCTTTTTGCACTTAGTACTGCGAAAGTTTAGAGTCCTTCAGTACAAGGGACTGGTGTTACTTAGGCCCGTAGCCCGATTTAACATAGCAAAACTGGTGTTACTTAGGCCCGTAGCCCGATTTAACATAGCAAAACTGGTGTTACTTAGGCCCGTAGCCCGATTTAACATAGCAAAACTGGTGTTACTTAGGCCCGTAGCCCGATTTAACATAGCAAAACTGGTGTTACTTAGGCCCGTAGCCCGATTTAACATAGCAAAACTGGTGTTACTTAGGCCCGTAGCCCGATTTAACATAGCAAAACTGGTGTTACTTAGGCCCGTAGCCCGATTTAACATAGCAAAACTGGTGTTACTTAGGCCCGTAGCCCGATTTAACATAGCAAAACTGGTGTTACTTAGGCCCGTAGCCCGATTTAACATAGCAAAACTGGTGTTACT